GAGTTCAGTCTGAGATTGGTGATGATTATCTTTGGAGTGCTCACATATTTGCATTAATTCTTAATTATTTAGATTTGAAAGTAATTTGCTAAATTCTAAAGGAACACTATAGGGTCAGGAACACAAACACGTATTCCTGACCCTATAATGTTAAAACCACAATCTAGCTCCCATGGCCCCCTCTTTCCTCCCTAAAAATAGTAAAATCTTACTTGTATTCAAGTCTGCCTGCTGCCATCATCAGAAGTAGTGGTCTAAGCCAATCACAATGCTTCTCCATAAGATTGGGTGATACTGTCAAGGAGGCACATCAGGGGCATTGCCAGCACAAGTCAAACAAAGCCCTAGCCAATCAGCATCTCCTCAGACAGATGAATTGAATCAATGCCTCTCTATGAGGAAAGTTCAGAGTCTGCATGCAGAGGGTGGAGACACTGAATGGCAGTGCAACACACTAGGCAGCACTGCCCCAGGAAGCACCTCTAACAGCAGTCTGAGGAGTGGCCAGTGCGCCTGACCGGGAGTAACCCTAAAACCTCTTGGAACTCTAAGACGGATTGCAGAGTCACCTTGGTCCGCTAAACCTTTAACAGGAGCACTCTCGGTCACAAGAACAGAAATCATTGAGCTTTTTGGAGGGATAGTAGAGTGGGTGGCGAGGCAACGAATGACACCAAGGACTTGGGGGAGCTCAATGTACCCACAAATATCAGCCCCTATGCAGGATAAAACTCACTGGATATAGAGTCATTCCAGGCTCTATTTAAACAGCATCAGGGTGCCTGTACAGGCTCAAACAATATCCTTGAAGGACAGCTGCAAGAAACTTGGATAAAACAAATTTATTCAATAGTAAATAAAATTAAGGGACAATTGAGCAGTGATTAAAATGCAAGGGCATGTAGCCCAAAAAAGGCATAACAAACAAATAAAGTCCCAAAAGGTAAAAGCAAACGCGTTTCAACTCCTCCTGGAGTTTTCCTTAGTTCTGTCTTGCTCTCTCTGTGATCAAGTCATGTCACGGACGTAGCATTATGACTTATATGAACTGCGCCAGAAAGAGGAAGTGTGACAGCTGGGCTGAATTAGAGAATAACAGAAACAGTATTTACCCGGATCACAGCAACACAGCACTGAGGAAGACTCCAGGAGGAGTTGAAACGCGACTCCAGGAGGAGTTGAAACGCGACTCCAGGAGGAGTTGAAACTCTCCATCTTTTACCTTTTACGACTTTATTTATTTGTTATACCGTGTCTTATTGGGCTACATGCCCTTGAATTTTAATCACTGCTCAATTGTCCCTTATTTTTTATTTACTACTGAATAAATTTGTTTTAACCAAGTTTCTTGCTGCTCTCCTTGAAGGATATCATTTTAGCCTGAACAGGCACCCTGAAGTTGTTTATATAGAGCCCGGGACAGCTCTATATCCTGTGAGTTTTATAATAATAATGAGATATAAACATTGTAAGCCATTGTATTGATGCTGCACCCTTTCATGTCTCATTAGAGATGTCTACATTTGTCTGATACCAGCAAAGTTTATGTGTAGAAGCCCTATAAAGGGTTAAATATGAAAGGGTTTTTAAAATACCCCTTCCTGTCTCATTGGAGATTCTTGGCTGATATCAGCAAATCTAATGGCTAGTGTAGGACTCACCTTTTGGGGCTTGCCCTGACGTGGAATAAAACTGTCAGAAACAGTGGTACAATAGAGGTGCCTGAGATGGTGCCAGAGCCTGGACAGATGGTACTAGCACTCAAATTGTCCAAAAAGAATAAGCTTCAGGTGGCGTGGCAGGGACCCTTTAAGGTGGTAGAACGTATAAGCGACACCACCTACATCATAGGGAAATGTTCTGATCAAAGGATCAGGAGAGCCTTTCACATGAACATGCCCAAAACCTATTTTGAACGAGTAGAGGACGAGGCAGCCATATGTTCCCCATTGACAAAGGATAGTGAGGGACTCCAATGACCTGACCTGCTGGCTACTGCCCTGTGTACAATAGAGCAGGCCGGGCTAGGGAGGAGTTGAAACTCTCCATCGGGCTTGCCTTATTCAATTATTATTATTATTAATTATTCATTCAATGGCCATTGGAATAAAACAAAAATTTTTATTTATTTTTTTAATGTACATATGGATTTAGGCCAGAGCGCAGGTAACGTTCTCTATATATGGAGCTGATATTTTTTTTATATACAATCGTTTTATATTTCTATTTTTTAGATTGTTCCAGCCATAGAACATCTATTCCTGTCTTACATAGAAACATAAAATGTGGCGGCAGATAAGAGCCCAATTTTCTACATACTTTCATTAGTCCCTTGTAGTGATGTCCCGAACGGTTCGCAAACGGTTTGCCGCGGACCCATCATTGAGTAAACTGTACCTCACAGTCAGCAGACACATTCCAGCCAATCAGAGGCAGACCCTCCCTCCCAGACCCTCCCACTTCCTGGACAGCTCACTAAGAATGCAGCTTCAAAATGGATGCTGTCCAGGAGGTGGGAGGGTCTGGGAGGGAGGGTCTGCTGCTGATTAGCTGGAATGTGTCTGCTGACTGTGAGGGACAGGGTCAAAGTTTACTCAATGATGAGTCCGCGGCGAACCGTTCAGCGAACTGTTCGGGACATCACTAGTCCCTTGCCTTATCTTATATCCAGGATAGTCTTATCCATATCCCATGCATGCTCCTTCACTGTGTTAACCTCTACCACTCCAGCTGGAAGGCTATTCTATGCATCCACTACCCTCTCAGTAAAATAATACTTCCTGATATTAGTTTTAAACCTTTGCAAATCTAATTTAAGACTGTCCTCTTGTTGTGGTACTTTTTCTTCATTTAAATATAGTCACTGTGAAGAAACTACCCTGTTTTGTTCGGTATTTTGAATTTCACCCGTTCGTTAGTTGAAACTATCGAACACCGACCACCCACTGGCTCATTAACTTCAAAGGAAACTGTGAATTAAGTTCTCTCTCTGAGTGGCATAACCGAACACCACGTGCTGCCATCTTGTCGCACAAACAAAACTCTTTCAGGGCAGGAGCCTTGTGTGCGGTCGGTCAAATTATGACTTCCATGGAACTCCCAAACTCCTGAACCGATCTGGGTGATTTTTGGATATGTTGGTCCCCGAGATCGGGGCTTTACAGGGGATAAATGGCAATAATAATAATAATAATATTACTTTTGTGGGGTTCCCATGGTGTTTTGTGAAAATGTGTTTTTATGTTTGGAGATAATTGAGTTGAGTACAATACTTTACTCAAGTATCCCCTAAGTAAAGGGAAGGATTATTGTATTCTATGTAATTTGTACCTGTGCCCTCCCAGGTCCAGTGGGGAAGGCCCCTGGAATATGTCATTGTAAACCCCTGGAATATGTCATTGTAAACCCCGTTCATTGTAAACCCCGTTCCTTGCATAAAAAGCCGGCCAGTTGGCCTGAATAAATTTGTTTGGGTATATGACTGACTGCTGGGGAAGACTTCTTGTATGCTGCATTCTAGCTGGAGAACATATGTCTTGATTGCAACACTTGTTGCATTTATATCTTCTAGCACCCAATCTTTCTTTTTTGTATATATTCTCATTTTCCTCTGACCACCTAATGGAGGATAAATTAAATAAGTTTGTATATATTTGAAGTTCATTATCTAATATTGCTCCACTTATTACTATACACTACACCAGGTGTCACTTCACTTTAGGGACCACCTTGGAGCAGACCCCACAAAATTGGACTTTATTGGGATACAACAGGTTAAAAACGAATGGAGAGGTGGAGATTTTAATATAAAGACTGGACGAGCAGAGATGAAGTGGATTTTTAATTTAAATACTATGGTCCTAAACGGCCTTAATAATGATTTTGAAATCTGCCACTTCTTGAAATAAAATCTATATACTCCCTTTTTATCGATATATATATATATAAACAACTTTTTATTAATTCTTATTTGTCGATACATATATTTATTTTTACTATATTTATATATTTTTTTTTATATTATATATTTTTATTTTAGATATGTCCATTTCTATATATTTGAGAACTCCCCTTTTCCCAGTAATCTGTACTTTACCCGCTGCACTTTATGTTCCCTCCACTCCATTCTATCCACTATCAAAATGCATTTCATCCGTTTACATTTACTTTATTTCTCTATTTTGCCCTCTTTTAAGCAGGTCTGGACAAACCTCCATGATTTATGGGTTTTCTATGTTATTATTTCTACTGTTTAGGAGACCATCTCCTTCAGTAAGTTATGATCATTGTCCCTTTAAATCAGTTCTTTACTACTGTCTTTTTAAATATGCATCTTCTGTAAATATAAATTGTTTTAGAAAAAACATTGTATATTTGAACATGGATCTCTATGCAAATACCATTTTGCTATGTTATATCATGGCTTCTTTTTAGTTCTCTATGTCTAGGATTTCCTATATGTTTTTTTTATATATAAACAGTATAAATTAAGACAGAGGTTCATTTTAATATATAATGACAGATTCTGTATCTACACATTTTTAAGACTAATATATGAATGCATTTTATGACACATATTTTATTGTTTAAAGCATACTCTATATGTATGGTATAATTATTTATTTATGAGTAACAAACACACTGCACAAGCAGTATGTAAATGAGGCATTTTGGAACAACCAATAAGGACTTTTATGCCCATCTCCAATATGGAGTCATTAGCACGTTCTGAGGAAGCCGTAACTGAACGGCGTAACGCGCTGACGTCATCGAGCGAGGTGGAGCTTGCGGACTTACAATCCAAAACGGGAGGCCGAAAACACTGTACCGGTTACAGAGAAATCACGCCAGGATTCAAATACAACTTTACCCCGTTTGTGGAGACGTCTACAGCCCTCCCATATTGAGCTCAATCAGTGAGTAACGGCGTACGCCGTAATTACTCACCACTAGTGATGTCGCGAACTTGCCGCGAACCGTTCGCCACGAACCGTTCGTCGCGAACTCCGGTCAGCTGACACATCCCTGCCAATCTCCAGCAGACCCTCCCTCCCAGACCCTCCTACTTCCTGGACAGCATCCATGTTGAATGCAGCTTCAACATGGATGCTGTCCAGGAGGTGGGAGGGTCTGCCGGAGATTGGCAGGGATGTGTCAGCTAACCGGAGTTCGCCACGAACCGTTCGCGGCAAGTTCGCGAACGGTTCGCGACATCACTACTCACCACCTGTTTCTGTAAGAGGCAGAGCTTCTCATTATTTTATGCATTTATTTATTATTTGTTTTTTGTCACTTATGTCTAATAAATTGTTAATTTTTTATATTATCCATCCTTATAGAATACTACATATTTGTACACTATACCACCCACATAAGTCTCTAAAGATAAGATTTATGCACCTTTAGAGTGACTGTGTATGGGAAAATTATCAAAACGATATGTACTATTTGTTTTTTTGTATTTTTCTCTTTTTACATGTTCCATGAATTCTAATTAAATGCCAGCAATTGGAGGATATACTAAATAAGTTTGTATATATTTGTTAATGTATAAGTTCATTATCTAATATTGCTCCACTTATTACTATACTATCATTCGTCTTGATACCCGAACTGCAAGCTATAATCACTCATCTCTGAATGGATATACCAACATTCATAACAACTGGTGGCAAGCGGCGGGATCAAATGGGATTCCCAAGCATGGAAAACTGGTGAATGGCCCAGCAGTACGAGAAGTTAAAGAGAACTACGCAGTAAGATTTGCTGGAAGCTCGGGGTCAGTTGGCGAGGAACAAAAAGAGAGCTACCCTCATCGCCGTACTGATGGAGGGCGATCAAGCCAGCGGTGCGGCAAATGTAAGCATGGAAGAAGCAGAGTTTCAACGCAAAGTAGTGGAGACTCAGCTTGTTGGGGCCAAATCCTCCACCGGAAATTGTGCTGCAAATCTTGGCACAGAACAGGTTTCACAGCAGACGAACGTGTGCCAGGCACAGACAGCATTGTTACCTGGATTTCTAAATGGAGGGCAGCGGAGAAAAATGAATTATGCTGCTTTAAAAAAATTTGTTGACAGGGAAATGCAGATCGACACATACTTGCAGGACTTTGAGACAGTGCGCTTTAGAGGGACTTGAGCAAGAACACTGGGCTACGATGTTGAGCAACAAACTCACCGGCCTAGCAGCAGAGGCATATCGGGCGGTCCCTGACTCTACTATCCACAACTATGAGAGGGTAAAATACATTCTGGTAGCCCCGTATGCCGTCACCCCGGAAGCATATATAAGAGAAGATTTTGGGGTTTGAGAAAGGGGAATCAAGACTTGCATGCTGAGTGGGCCTTTCGGATACACAGGGTGGCTCAAAATTGGATGCAGGGCTGCCAAGCAATGACTCTGGAGGATGCGGTGCAATTTTTATTGTTGGAGCAATTCTTCGAGCACACGCCAACTGAAACCCGGGACTGGGTGAGGGATAGGAAGCTGAGTACAGTGGAGGAGGCAGCACGTTTAGCGGATGAGTACCACAATGGGAGAGAGGTAGAACCGAGTGGAGGGTGAACTACTTTTAAGCCCTCTATTCGAGCACAAGGACCTATGCCAGAGGGTACCTTACACTCCGGTACCCTCACCAAAGACTTCCCTCTGTCACCACTGCCAACAGCCAGGGCACTATAAGATGCACTGCCCTCAAAGGAACCGAGGGAGCTGGGAGAGACCAACATCCCAACCAGCCAGAGCAGTGGCACACTGCTACCACCAAGAGGCATTCGAGACACAAGGGCACAGTGAGGAACAATGGATGGTACTCCACAAAATCAACCCAGTCCAAACAGCAGGTGACAATCTGGGGCACCATCGGCAGTGGGTCACCCTGGACGGGCATTATTCGCCAATAATATGCACTCAGATCCAGGCTATCTGGGGATATGTGATGCGAATGGGAAATGTTCGGTTATTTTAGAGTTATGTATTTTTATGTATTTTCTAGTATTGTATTAAGATGGCGATTTGTCTTTGTCCTGGAGATAATTGAATTACTTCTCAATTATCTCCAGGGCAGAGGGGAGGAAACCATATTGCATTGTGGGAAAAGCCTGTGATTGTATGTCTGAACTGTCCCCATGTCCATCTGTAATTTCAGTCTCCCATTTGGTCCCCTAGAGGAGTGTCCACCCAGTGGGAGCCCACAGTAAAGCCAGATCCTGTTTGACCCTCAATGCGGAGCTTCTGTCTCGTTATTGGGGGGATTTCTTCTTTGCGTTTAGAGACTGCTGATTGGAACCGAAAGCCGCTTGGTGGATATCGTTGTTCGGCGGCTAGCAGCAGTTCATGGATTTCCGTTCGGGAGTTTGGAGCCTTTCACGGATCCCGGTCGGGAGATTACCGCTTCCCCTGGTTATGGTTCGTGTATTACAATTGATGCGAATGGATTACTGATATTGCGAAACGGGAAGGTGAACTAGACGGCGGTTTCTCTTAAAGACACCAGGGGGCGACCACGTCTGGCCGTCTGTATGTCGCCGTGAGAACCGTGACAAGACCTACAGGATTATTGCAGGACGTGTGACACCTGCCAAAGGATAGGGAAAAGATGTGACCATACCTAAGGCAAACTTCGCCTGTTGCCTATAATAGAAGAACCATTCCACCGGTTAGCGGTGGATTTGATAGGCCTCCTCAGCAAACCTAGTACTTCAGGAAAGAGCTATATCCTCACAGTGGTGGACTATGCCACTAGATAGCCAGAGGCTGTGGCCCTTTTCAATAGTGAGGCAGAAACTGTAGCCGAGGCCCTAGTAAACATTTTATCTAGGATAGGTTTTCCCCGGTAGATCCTGTCTGACCAGGGGACCCAGTTCACCGCAGCTGTGACACAACAGTTATGGCAGTTAAGCCCCTGTTCACTTCTCCCTACCATCCCCAGACCAATGGCCTCTGTAAGCGTTTTAACGGCACTCTAAAACAGATGCTCAAGGCATTCACAGAGTCCTACGGACACTGGGAAAGGTTTCTTCCCCATCTCCTGTTTGCCTACAGAGAAGTAGGCAAACTTCTCCCTTCAAACTCATTTACGGGAGAAAACTTCTCCCGTCAAACTCATTTACGGGAGAAAAGTACAGGGTTCCCTGGACCTCATACGGGAAAAGTACAGGGTCCCCTGGACCTCATACGGGAGCACTGGGAGGGCAATACAGGAGAAGGAAGGATACCTATCGTGTCGTACGTACTGGAGTTTAGGGACCGGTTGCAGGCACTGTCCGACTCTGTTCGGGAGAACCTGCAAGCGGCTCAGCGATGCCAGAAACGGTGGTACGATAGAGGTGCCTGAGATAGACTCCTAGAGGCTGGACAGAAAGTACTAGCCCTCAAACCGTTCAAAAAGAACAAGCTTAAGGCGGCGTGGGAGGGACCCTTTAAGGTGGTAGAACATATAAGCGACACCACGTACATTGTAGGGAAATGCTCCGATGAAAGGATCAGGGGAGCATTTCACGTGAACATGCTCAAACCCTATTTTGAACGAGCAGAGGATGTGACAGCCATATGTTCCCCATCAACAGAGAATAGTGAGGGACTCCCATAACCTGACCTGCTGGCTACTGCCCCGTGTCGGGCTAGGGGGACCCTGATTAGCAGGCTGAAGCTACCCAACTGCTTCAGGAATACCGGGAATTATTTTTGACGGTACCCTGCTATAACTCCGGTGCAGTCCATCGAGTAGAGTCCCAGGGATAAAAACCGTTGCAGCAATAACCCTATCATATCCCTGAAGCGGTTCAGACAGATATGTAGAAAGAGATTCAGGAAATGCTAGGGGTCACTGAGGCCTCTCAGAGTCCCTGTGCTTCACCAGTAGTGCTGGTACCGAAGAGAGAGGTAAACCCTGACACCCTGCAACCCTACAATTTCACCATGCAGTACAGGCCAGGCAAACAGAACAAAAAGCGGGTGGTTTATCCCGACAAACGGACCTGGAATCTTAACTGATTTCCTCAGACATCCCCGAGCCAACCCAGCAGGGTCTAGGCGGATATGCCGACCCATAGAACTAAGGGGGGAGCAATGTGAAGAAACTACCCTGTTCTGTTTGGTATTTTGAATTTTCCCTCTCCGTTAGTTGAAACTACCGAACATCGACCAGCATCCTGGCTCATTAACTTCAAAGGAAACGGTGAATTAAGTGGCTTGTCGCGACAGCAGGACTCGGTCGACGAGTGTCTGGAACTTAAATCGGACACTCAACATTCCGAACGCCGGTCAAAATTTGTGAACGCCTGCTTCTGTTCACCGACCAGCCAGGAGGGCACTGTTCGGTAGGTTTGTTCTGCCGAACTAGGGGAACAAAGGCTACCTATGAGCCAGGGGAACAGTTTGTGGATTTGTTCTGTTTTTAGACTTCCCGAAAGAGGTCAAATTATGACTTCCATGGAACTCCCAAACCCCTGAACCGATTTGGGTGATTTTTGGATATTTTGGTCCCCCAGATCAGGGGATATTAATTTTGTAGGGTTTAAATCACTTTCGGTGTTTTGTAAAAATGTGTTTTTTGTGTTTGTAGATAATTGAGTTGAGTACAATACTTTACACAATTATCTCTGTAGTAAAGGGGAAGAATTATTGTATTATATGTGAGAGTGTCCTGGACCTGAGAGCCAATGTCACTACAGTATGTAATTTGTCCCTGTACCCACCCAGGTCCAGTGGGGAATGCCCCTTGAATATGTTATTGTAAACCTTGTTCCTGGGGACTTGCATAAAAAGCCAGCTACTTGGTCTGAATAAATTCATTCCTGTTGTACTCTTCATCTAGTTCAGGCTGATGTTTGGGTATATGACTGACTGCTGGGGAAGACTTCTTGTATGCTGCATTCTAGCTGCAGAATATTCGTCTTGATACCAAAACTGTTACTCAGCTCTTAGCAGTTCGGGAGGAACCAAATATGAATTGGTATCTGATATACCAGTATCCTGATTTACTGTGTTGATTCCCTTTATGTATTTAAATATTTCTATCATATACCCACTGTCTCATCTTTCCTCCAAGCTATACATGTTAAAATCCTTTAACCTTTCCTTGTAAGTTTTATCCTGCAATTCATGAACCAGTTTAGTAGCCCTTCTCCAAACTCTCTCTAAAGCAGGGCTGTCCAACCTGCGGCCCCCCAGATGTTGCTGAACTACAACTCCTATGATTCCCTGGCTATCTTTTTAATTGAAAGAAGCATGGGAGTTGTAATTCAGCAACATCTGGGGGACGGGGGGGCACAGGTTGGACAGCCCTGCTCTAAAGTATCAATATCCTTCTGGGGATACGGTCTCCAGTACTGTGTACAATACTCCAAGTGAGGTCTCAATGGCAGGAGAACTTCCCTCTTTCTACTGCTAATACCCTATACAACCAAGCATTCTGCTAGCATTTCCTGCTGCTCTATTACATTGTCTGCCTACCTTTAAGTCATCTGAAATAATTATAACTAAATCTCATTCCTCAGATGTTGAGGTTAGGACTCTATCAAATATTCTCTACTCTGCCCTTGGGTGCATTACCTTGCACTTATCCACATTAAATGTCAGCTGCCACAACTCTGACCATTTTTCTAGTTTACCTAAATCATTTGACATTTCGCTTATCCCTCCTGGAACCCTGTTACATATCTTAGTATCATCAGCAAAAAGACATACCTTACCATCAAGACCTTCTGCAATATATTAATAAAAATATTAAAGAGAATGGGTCCAAGTACAGATCCCTGAGGTACCCCACTGGTGACAAGACCATGCTTCAAATATAATCCATTAACTACAACCCTCTGTTGCCTTTCACTCAGCCACTGCCTTACCCATTCAACAATATTGGAATCATAACTTGAAGATTGCAGTTTATTCTATGTGCAACAGTGTCAGAAGCCTTACTGAAATCTAGGTCAGTGTTTCCCAACCCAGTCCTCAAGGCACACCTACCAGTCCAGGATTTAGGGATTACCCAGTTGTGTCTAAGGTGTTTTTTTTCTTCTTTCTAAAAACACCTTAGACACAACTGGGTAATCCCTAAATCCTGGACTGGTAGGTGTGCCTTGAGGACTGGGTTGGGAAACACTGATCTAGGTAAGCAATGTCTACTGCACCAACCTGATCTATTATTTTAGTTATCCAATCAAAAAAATCAATAAGATTTGTTTGGCATGATCTCCCTGAAGCAAACTAATGTGGTCTCTGATCTTGAAATCCATGTGATTTTAGATGTTCAACAATCCTATCCTTTAACATGGTTTCCATTTTGGTCTTTACTGTCTGGTGTACTATTTGTATTTTATTGTAACTTTATTCCAAGTGTTGGGGAATACACACACTACACCTGTGTGTTTTTGATTTGGTAGCGCCTACACACCCATGCATTTTTCAATTTTGATTTAGTTCACCCTTCACTAAGTCTTGACTAGTGTTTGGGTGAGACAGCGGTATATACTGCAGCAGAAAACACAATGGTGCCTCAGAAGGGATATGATAACATAATATAAATATATTCGGGGCCAGTACAAACCATTATCTGGAAATCTATTCATAAACAGGGCTATACATAGGACACAAGGTCATGCATTTAAGCTGGAATAAAGGAGATTTAGTTGAAGGCAAAGAAACAGGATTTTTTACAGAACTATCAGGATGTGGAATTCTCTGCCTGAAGAGGTGGTTTTATCAGAGTCCATATAGATGTTTAAACCGTAATTGGATAAATACTTGCAAAAACATAACATACATGGATATAATTTCTAATTAGTGGGGTAAAAGCTTCTTCATCCAAGGAGATATCTGTCTGCCATTTTGGGGTCAAGAAGGCATTTTTTCCTAGTTTGTTACAAAATTGGGAGCTCTTCAGACTGGGTTTTTAGCCTTCTTTTGGATCAACAGCAAAAACATATCTGAGGAAGGCTGAACTTGATGGACACGAGTCTCTTTTCAGCTATGTAACTATGTAACTCCAGGGCTACAAAGGGATGACTTTGGCGGTGACAACCCAACTACTGAGGGGTATACTGCCAGATATGGTGTCAGAGGTGGGATGGTCCCTTTTCCCTGGAGGGAGCAGCATTGGATGGAGCTGCCCTATGAGCGGCTGAAGCGAACGACTCTGAAAGACCTCCTGGAAGTGCGAGGAAGACCAGCCAGCATTAAATCCAAAGCTCTGCTAAGAGCAGAACTCCTGGAGCTTGATAATACCAGCTTAGCATCCTCGGTAGCCCAGGAGGAGGAAGCGTAAATTCTGGATGTCGAAACTCAACTTGCCCTGATGGGTCCAAACCCCTCGCCGGAGGTTGTCCTACAAGTCATGGCCAGCGTGGATGCAGCAGTTCAAGCGAAACGTGACCACAAATTTAACCTGGCAGAAGTCCAGCAGCAAGTACCCTCAGCCAGGGTACCCCCTCAAGCCCCAAAGAGGAGATCAACAGGTACCTGGCACCTTACCCTACACAAATACAACAAAGGAAGCCCTACTTGCACAGTATGCAGTAACACCAGCGCAAACTCCAAAACAGCAAACGAGGCTCAATCACCTATTGGTCATGCCTGCTACACAGGGCAGCAATGCACTGGGTGAAATATGCCAAGCCACAACCGTGGAAGACGTGATACAGCTCATGTTACTGGAACAATTACCCCCGGTGGTTAGACTGGCAGACTCAGTGTGCACCTCAATGCCATGAAGCCTCAGCCGGAGGAGTTTGGGAGAGAGGTAGTGATCGACCCAACTCTGATCAAGTACTGAGCCAGGGCAGAGATGAAACAGGGGGGTTAGAAAGAGAACATTTTGGAGCAAGGGGGACTCTACAGACTGCCAGAAACCCAGGTTGATAAGGCAGCCCCAACCCAAAAGCGCCAGATGGTAGTCCCACAGAAATACTGGCTGGAATTTATGTGGATCAGACACAACATCCCCCTAGCAGGGCACCTAGGTATATACCATCTTCTGAGTGACAAAGAGCTTCTGTCAGACTTGTGATACCTGCCAGCAGGATGGGAACCGTACCCCGGGCAAGGTTGCAATCGATGCCCATCATAGGAGAACCATTCATCCAAGTAGCTGTAGACCTAGTAGGCCCCCTAGCTAAGCCTTGTCCCTCTGGTAAGAAATACATCCTTACCATAGTGGACTATGCTACCCTATACCCAGAAGTGGTGGCCCTGACAAACATACAGGTGGAGACCGTAGCAGATGCCCTGATGCATATCTTTTCCAGAGTGAAATTTCCTCAGGAGATAGTGTCAGCTCCCCTACCACCCTCGACAAATGGTCTCTGCTAGTGGTTCAATGGAACCCTGAAGTAGATGCTTTGGACATTTACTACAGCTTGCAGAAACTGAGAGAAATTCTTGACCTCATATGGGAGCACTGGGAGGGGGACACAAAGAGAGTGTACCCCGATCGTGCCGTATTTGCTCTACCCAAGTTGGTCTTTGTCACCCCATTATACCAATTTTGGGTTATACAGTTTGGGATGAAAAACACCCCCAGCCACTATCCAACGTATGATAGACAGACTCCCCAATGGCCTCCAGAGCAATGCATGCGCGTATCTGGAGACATGTAGGGACAGTCCTAGGTAAAGTCAGGGCAGCTGACCTAACTTAGAAGCCTGCCACAAGTAACTGCGGCATGCCGTTACATTACCTGGATTGGTTAACAAGCATCACATGATCGCGGTAATTGATGGGAGCGATCATTTAACAGGACACTTAAACCTGGAAGTTATTACAGCCAACTGAGGAGGCCTATATCGGCGAAACAGCGTTTTGGCACACAAAGACTGGAGTACTAAGACTGGATATTATATGATTTATTCTGTTTTTTGTTCTAATACCAGTATTACCAATTTATGTTTATTATAAATAAATACAGCTTTTTAATCACTTTTTGGCAGTCTTTATTTGATTCAGGCTCCAAGTTCCACTTTAGGGGAATGTTACCCCAGAATTTGACACCAAGTGCTTTAACCTTAGAGCCAAGGCATTACAGGGCTCTATAAAAGGTTAGAATCTCTTTTGTATTGTATTTAGTCCATTATTTAGAGAGATATACTACACCATATTTCCCTGTCTTGTTCTCTGCTTACTTCGAGAGTGGAATCCATTTGAAGAAGGTGAGGTGCTGCCAATATGTGCACATCAGAATTTATACAGAGCCTTATTTTTCATAGTTGACCGTCTGAAGGTCAAAGCGCTTGTGAGTGGTGGTGATTTATCCCGCATATGCTCTCCACCAATCTAGTAAGGGGCAATGATTTCCATCTCTGTGTAATATACATACAATTTTAACTATAATCACTTTTTAAGATGTGTTAAATAAACTGTGTATTTATTTATCTTTGGATTTTAGGAACATTATTATTATCTGTATAAACTTAATTAATATACTACAATATTACACTATTGCTTGCACATGCTCATGGCAACCTGAAGTCAAGGAATTAATCTAAGAATTTTTTTGCGATCCACTGTTTGGATATGTTGGGTGCTCAGACACAGGCTATTCTGCAATATAAGACTTGTGGGGTTACAATACTCTTTTCTTATGTTTTTGGGGTGATTTATAATATTATATGTTATTCCATGTAACTGAGAGATAATTGAGTTATCCAGTTTAGAGTTCAATTATCTCTCAGTCCCAGAGACTCCTGGGAAAAAAACTTGTGTAATTTTGCTGTGGAGACCCCATGATAGGGGCCATGCATAAAAAGCCATGTGTGGCCAAATAAAGTCAGTTGTGTGCTGTCCAGTTACTGGGGGAATGGGTTATAATCATTGATCATATGAAATCATTAATTTCATATGAATAAAAAAAATGGAATAAAAAATGAAAAAAACAAAACAAAAATGAAAAATAAATTAAAATGGAGATAAAAATAAAATAAGATTTTATTCAGAAACTCATCTTTTTGAAGAATGATAATTAAATTAGATAATATAATAGTATTAGATAATACTAAATTTGAGTAAGCATTTATTACTAAATATAATTCACAAGCTAAAAAATTCAAAAAGATCTTCAAAAAACATTGGCACGTGGGTGTGGTCTAACCTCGGAGGAAGATGGACGCTTGACTTCACTTGTTCCTGTATGAACAAAATGTCTTTAATGTTCTAGATGGCTGCGGTACCCACACAACCCCCTCCTGGACCACGACTGGGTCTAAGGAACGAAGACCACTAATACCCACATTTCCAGAGGGACTACTTGCGGTACACCTTGCTATCAA